CAGCAAAGTTCTAAAGCTTAAAGATCTTTTTAAGCCTCCTAAAAGCAGGTACCAACAATTACACTCATAATTTATTTAAAGAAAAGAAGCTTATTCTTCGAGTTGTGTAGGTCCTCATTAAGTATATAAATATTTCATCTCACACATCAACCCTACGAATTGTTTTTTTTCCTACATAATAAATTGATATAAATATTTTCCAAGCACATAAACTTTAATTCTGTTGCACCTCTTTTGAATCCCTTCAATTTATTTAATTTTTTTTTTTGATATATCAATTTAAATATTCACGCTTGTATCGGTGTACTCCATGTCACCCAAGACACAATTCAAACATTAATCTTCTACGCCTTTCGCTGTTGTATGCGCTCATAGTTAGTTATCTGCAAAATCCATTTATTATACTACGATTGCCCAGCCAAAGGCCAACACCTGTAGTACTTACTTTTCTCTATGTCCATGAGGTACTACATATATGTACGGACATACACAAACACACACACACACACACGTATTGCTAGAGTTGTCTTTGAATTATAAAAAATTACTTTCACAATTTCTCTACTTGCTGCGCCACTGCATGATGAATTTACACTGGGCGACCTATTTGCCGTTCTACAAGCAGATTCCTACACAGATAATCTACAGCTGTGGCTACGTTGTGTTTATGACGCAGCGCCGTGGCAGGTGTGGTCCCAAACCAGCAAATTACTTTTCAAATGGACGAACAGTATTTGCACACAGCAAAATGCATTCGCATGTCCACATCCGAAGTGCATAGCAAGAATATATGTAAACAAGATTATAACTGGCGATTCTACAACAAGGCAAGCGCCCCACCCGCGTGCACATTTGGGTGACTTAATTAAAACGGCAATACCTTTGATCGGCCCAGGCAGCTTTCGTTGGAGTAGATGGGTAGATAGATATTAATGTGAGGTGTGCACTGCGACCTGGTCATCTTTCATGTTCTCTTCTCTTCACAAGACTTCATCTAAGCCCAGATCGCTCAGAAAGTTCAATATCGCTTTGGGGGGTAGGGAGTGGATGTGTTAAAGCTGTGGCCACAACGTGCCAAGACTCCTCTCACGTCTTCTGCAGATTGCATCACACTCGGTGAGTCAAGTCAAGTCACAGAACTTGCAGAGATAATTAGACCATAGGTGACCCCTTAGTTTGCAGTGTCCTGTAAGGAAACCTATTGAAATTCGAAGCCTCTCTTTTGGCAGGTTTATTAAGCTTTGGAATCTTCTCTTGTTGAACTCTCCCAGTAAACTCTTAGCTTGGCGCATTCCTCCCGAACTGCGTCAGTTTAAATCTCTTATTGTGCACCTTTTCCTCCTAAGCTCCTCCTTTATTGTATTTGGACCTACTCCCAGGAAGGGCTGTGGGCCAACTGGTGTGATGACTGCCGCCTCTCTAGCGAGACAATCAGCCACCTCATTACCCTCAACTCCCCTATGGCCGCGTACTAACGCTAATCTCTTGGTATTGTGTCTGCTAAAGGAGTTTAGCTTCTCAATGCACTCAACGCCCAACGAAGGTTAGACTTCATAGGATAGAAGAGCCTTCAGTGCCGCCTGACTATCGCTCAACATAAATTCGCTCATTTCTGTACCCTCTGCTCAAGATTGTCTCCGCCCTGTTGCTTGGAAGATGCCCCGATATTTCCCCATATGAGCAGAGATTCTTTTTCCGGACCCAACGACTCCAGCCCCTACTCCTTCTGCGGTCTTCGAGCCATCTGTGTACCAGTTCGTTGGAGTAGTACCCAGTCGGAAATACACAGTACAGGCAGCGCTTTTTCAATTTTCGTTTAGAAGCTTTGGAATGCTTTTTGGCATTTTCTTATCCCCAATATGCACCTCTTAGCTGAGGATAATTAGTGGACAAGACAGGAGACAAGGTTTATACCCACAGCAACGAAAGTCAAATAAAGGCAACCGACTCATTAGTCGGATCGCTGCGTGGCTAGTAAGTTTCTCAGAAAAGTTGTAGCAGAAGGCCACTCCACACAAAGAAGAAGTAGAAAATTTAGCACGTAAGACTTATCGCCTCGAAACATTAAAAAGAAGGTCACCAAGAAGACCTATTTCTGGCATATTTTGCTTACTGGGTTACTGGCCAGTGTACGCATGTGTGTTTAGCTGTACATATGTTTGTATGTATGTATGTATGTATGAGAATATGTAAGTTATCGTTTCGTGTCTACAATGGCAGCTAGCAAAAAATGGTTAGCATTTCATTACAACAAAACGGTTGCTGCACTGCGGCGGGCGTATGCGTCGTGCCACCACAGCAATATTTGCTTTACACTGTTGCACCAGGGTGCGCCGTTGCGTCAAAGCTCGGTGAGGTTACGTATAGGCTAGCGTGTACGCTGGAGGTGTGGCTGGCTACACTCCACCGTTTATGCCTTCCATTCATCTTCCTCATTCCAATTGTGCGCTTTATTCATCTATTACTATTCTCAGTTGTGTGTAGTTGATGTGGGTGACTTCTCGTGCACTCGCTTCTTCTCTCTTTTTTCCTGCCTGCCTCTTGTCACAAGCGCGTAAATAGCAAATGCACTCACGCAAGCAAATTATAAGCCATTGTTATCCTTTTCTCTTTCGTCCTGTTGGTATGTTTTGGAATGTGCAATGGCAGCGGTTCGTTTTACAAGTGCGATTCCTACACTTGTTCTATTTACGTTTTTGTTCGTTCGTTTATGGATTACTTTAAGCATTTAATGGCATTTGAATAACTACAAGTAGTGAAGGTGTTAGCTATCGGCTGCTTTAATCCTACACTCTCACTGATTTATTGGTGCAAGCATGAAAGAAAAAAAAAAAAAAATATATACATTTGCGTCGGATAAAAAGTGTGCTTAGTTCAGTGATTAGCTCGAAAACTTAAAAAGAAATAGTATAGATGTGAAGAAAAATGTGCGAATTGAATAATAAGCGTCTTCAGGGAATTATTTATGAGGGCCAATAAAGTTATTTTAAAATTTTGCAAGCATAGCAATTCTGGGCTTCAAAAAAGTAATATATTAATGCAGCGACTAGATGATTGCGACAAAAGTGGATTTTCACTCTTCCTTTTGGTTACTCTCTGAAAGCATAGACAGACGGCAGCGTTGATCCGGATTAACGGTGCAGTTAATCTGAATGAAAATAAAATAAAGTAAAATTTAATATATAAATCAAATAAAATAAAACAAATAAAAAGACAAAATTTTTGGCAATCGCTTCATCTGAGGTTCGAACCTAGCACCTACAGACTTGTATCACGCAACACTCACCACTCGGCTACCGCGGAAGCCAAACTCGCTTACTTTGTTTGCTTACTGACAACAGCTGGCCGTTTTAACCAGTGTTGTCAACGAAAACTCCCCTGATCCCCTGATTCCCGTGAGTTAATTCCCATAATGCTGCTTATGCGCATTTGAAAGAGAAAAATGCATGACTTAATGCAAATAAAGGGTGTTTATGCAGATATAAGCGAATCCGTTTGTCACCCGTGTAGTTGGCGTTCTTGGCAGCTTCTCTGCTGCACAGCTCTTATCGACATTCCGAAAAATCCAAACTACACTCGACATAACTATCGCCGTAAATTAGTTTAGATCCTTTTTACATTATACTATTTCTATCTTTGGAGAAGTATTGCTGCTGTGTAGAGATTGTATTTCAGCATGCTGTGTGAAAAAATTGTTACAGACTGTGTCGAGCGAGAACGTAAAGCCAGAAGCTTAGACTTAGGGAAATCCTGTGTGAGTCCGGAATATTCGAGTAAGCGATTCTACAGTTTCTCAGGACACGTCCTTCGTTCAATCTCGCTACGTTGCTGCTGGTCTGAAGGAGAGGAATTAGTGGGTAGGCCGCGCATTATTAGTAGGGAAGTAGCAGTCTACCCAGTTTACCCTTCAAGGTAAACTTGTGTATATAGAACGCCAGTTACGAGTAAGACATAAAACAAAAAAAAACAGTGGTACAAGTGAAATATTTAACTATCAAAGAATATGTAGATTTTCATAGATGTGTAGCAATAAAACTTTGAGATAAATCCGCCCATTATTCTCGAACCAATAATAAGAGTTGGGTGCGATGTTTAACCTCACCCCGAAAATAACATTCGGTGAGTGTCCTGTATAGAAACGCCCGCCGAAATAAAGAGCTCCACCTGCGGTCTCATTGTGCAGATTTACAGGTCGTAGTTTTGGTCCAGCATTCACTAAGCCCATCTCCCCAGAAGCGGCCAGTGGTCCGCCAGCTCGTTAGCCGTGCAATATACCTAGCTGTCAGAGTTGAGATTACACTCTTATAAAGTGTCTCCACCAATTCTGCTTCGAAAACCGGAAGCATAAACGTAATGTTGATGAAGAGCTTATGGCAGGTGAACTCCCCATAGAATGCTTGCATCAACCTCCGGCCATCAGCTGGTTGGAACAATTTTAGAGACACTTTGATACGGTCCTCACGCGGTCCATTAATTTAATTAAGGTCATGTAAAATCGTTGTACTGTCTAAACTTAGAAGGCTACCGAGGGTTATACTATTATCTACAAGAGCTCATTCTATAGATAATCCCAGTTTTCTGAGCCCTACATCAGATAAGAAATCAGTTTATTGGTATCAACCTCAATAAGCACTTGGCGCTTTGTACCATGCCTAATTTTATATGATTTTACTGTTTCCACATGGCTGTCCATTAGAATAAGAAAATCCGCAGCAGACGATCGAGCTTTCTGTCCCAAGAATTTTTAATTCCATTTTGCATTAAAAAGTTTAAAGTGAAGTTGAACTAAACATTCTTAAAAATTTATACTTCATTTTCGTTAAAATTTAAACTTTCCACCAGAGAAATAAACAATGAAATGTCAAAGGACCAAACCTGTATCTAAATATAAAATAAACAGTCTAAATGTATTCACTGTCTTATGCTTTTCTTAAAGCCGCCAACCAATCATTGCGCCAAATAACAGCTCACCCCTCTCTCACTCTTCAATTCCATTGCAGAATATGTGGCGCTGCAGTGTGTGCCGACGAAAGATGGCCTCGCGTGTGTGCATCCCACAAGACTCAACCGACTCCATGTTGGACGTGCCCGTGCTGGAGGCGCTGCAACGACGTCACTCCGATGCAAAACTCGGCTCAACACAGACACTGGCACCGGCAAATGGTGCCGCATTGGCACCGCCGCGCAGTCCCGAACTGCGCCGGCATTCGGATGTCTCACCCGCCTCGCTCAAAGAACTCGAAAAGGTAAGCGATGTTCCGACAATTGTGTGTGCGTGTCTGCAGCTGCTGTGTTGTGCTTGCGTATTTTGTTTTAGTTGTTGTTGCTTTAGTTTTACTTTGCGCCATTTTGAGTTCGAGATTAGTTGTTGTTGTTGTTAGTTTGTGTTTATATTTGTGTTTGCGTTTGGGTGCGTGTGCCAAAAAAGAGTGGGCGTGTAGTGCGCGAAAGACGTACCGTACCGTACCGTACCTCACTCACCTGCCGTACCTTCCGTACTCTTTGTACTTTTCGTAACTTCGTTCGATTATCGTACAAACATACAAACAAAAATAACGCAATTTGATGCGCGGCCGCTACACACCACTCTCGTGTGATAACCACACACCACACCCACACCCAACCCACAACCTGAAAATGCAAAACGCAGTTGAAGGGCAATAAAACACCGGGCGGTGATTTGGACTTTCGCAAGGGTGGACGCAGCATGGCGCCGAGTCGTTCGTCGAGCCCGCCACGGCAGGCGGATCTGGAGCAGCAACCGCCTTTTGGACCGCCCCTGTCGCGCATTGCTTCGCGGCGGGGTTCGCGTGTGGCGCGTCAGCACAGCTATGACGATGACATGAATAGTGCGGCCATGGCAGCGGCGGCCGGCGCGGGCGGCGCTTTGGGTGCGGCTGGTGCACTGGGCATGGCGGGCGGTGACCCCGGACTCGGCATACCAGCAATGCCGAGGAGGTTAGTTTGGGGAGTTTTAAGTGTTTGCGGCCATTTAGTTTTCAAGTTTTCTCCTCCCCTTTTGCCTTTGCGCTTTAGAAAATCCGCATACGACGTCTTTGCGCCAAATCTGCTGCAGAGTGCGGCGCCAGCTACTGCAGCACAGCTACAACGATCACCTGGCGATGGCATGTCTCCTCAGATTGCTTTGCCCGGTTCGCGGCGACCCTCCTTCCGTGTGCCGCATCCTTCCGAGGATTTACAGAACGATGAGTCACCAAGTCCGGACAAGGGCAGCCCAGTGCTAACGGTGGACGACGACAGGCGCATACGACGGCGTGGATCACAGCTGTAAGTAGAAGCCTTTCGAATTCAGCAATAAATAAATTGAATCATCTTGGATGAGAAATACAAATTTTAACTCAGATCCAATGTTACTTACCGTAATCGTTTTTCTATCGAATTCTTTACTCGCAGCCCTGATTTGGCCGCGTTACAGCAACGCGGTGCTTTACCAACCAACCTGCCGGCCACCATACCCCCTCCACTCGCCGCCTTTACTGGCCCAAACTTGGAGGACCTGGAGGCACCTCGGCGTCAAACATCGATGGATGGTGAAGCTATTAAAATTGTCATACACGACGTGGACTCGGGTCCTATTTGCTCATCGAAACGCAGAATCGTCTTGCGCAGAGATCCCACAGACAAGGCGCATCGCAGTAAGTAGAAAGCGCTTTTATAAACCTTATTTAGTTGATTATTTTAGCGCTTGGAAAATTAAACTAAATATAACTTTTTGATAAAAAAAATCTGGCATAAATATTCGGTGATTTAAGACATGGGCATACAAAATTTTTTTGCTAAATTAGAAACATAAAAATTCATCAAAAATTGGGTATACATTTTTCGTCATTCAAAAACTGCACAGAAATTTTCGGATTGTTGACAATTTAAAATAGGATAAAAACTTTTGGTCATTTGAAAACTGTACATAAATTTGTGGTTATTTAAAATTGGACATACATTTTTGGGCAATCATTTTTGCAATTTAAGAACTGCACACAAAATTTTAGACATGAAACTTTTTGGAATTATGAAACCGATTAAAATTTTCGGTGATTTAAAAACAGGACATCAATTTTTGGTCATTGAAAATTTGCCATCAATTTTGGGTCTTTAGAAATTGGTCATCCATTTTTGGTCACTTAAAGCTGGGCAGAAATTTTTGGCTATTTAAAATTCGCAATCATTTTTAGAACATCTAAAAATTGGACACAATACTTTGAAACATAAGATTGTGTTTCCTTACAAAGTGGATGTAAAATGTGCTAATATTTAAAATTTTTGTTTATTTAAACATTTTCTTGCCCACTTTTTTCAGTTTTGTGATCTACTTTATAAGTTCATATAACCGTAGTTTTTAAAAGAGCAGAATAAATGTCCAGAAATTTAAAAAAATGTTTGCCAATTTACTAAAAAAGTACGTAAGTCTGTACATATTTTTCCAAAAACTTGGCAGAAATTTTAGGACTGAAATGCTTGGCAATTTAAAATCGGATAAAAAAGTTTGGTCATAAAAAAACTGGACATAAATTCGGTAATTTAAGAGGTCATAAATTTCTGTTCATTTAATATTTGCTATAAATTTTTGGTCGTTTAAAAACAGGACATACATTTTGGGTCACTCGAAAACAGGTCATATTTAATTGACCATAGCAAGAGACTTCTGCATCAAGGACCTGGATCACAATCTTCAGGAATGAATTTACCAATTCATCTTAAGTTGGCCTATTCGTTTGACTTGGGGTAACAGTAGGGACAGCCAATACCTAACACTCCCTACCTTCTCTCGACGGCGCTGATACGGTTTAATTAACCTGAAAGAGGAAAAAACGATGGCAGGAGTTGGCGGAGGGCCACAGTTAAGAATATTCCTCCTGTTTCCGCTATCTAGGCCTACGAAGGCTAACGCTTTGGAAACTGGTTACCTTTTGCTGAATTGAGGGACATTGAAATTGTCACGAGAAAACTTCATAAAAATGAAAACTTTAATCCTCCTCGTATTTACGACTCTTTTTACATATATATGCAAGGTTAGAAAAAAATGGTGACACTTGAGTCAGTATCTAAGCCAATAAGGCTACGTTGCGGTTTTCTTAGAATTACTAACAAGCATAAATACTTTTGATCAGCTGCTTTTGACAGCTGGTCATTGTGATAAACTCCTTCAAGCGCACTTACCACTCAATGTCTTTCCCTTCCAATTATGTAGCTTCTCAGCCGTTCAACGAAATGATTTCTGTTAAACGCACATACATAAATGAGCCATTGTTTTTGTATCCGCTCCTGAGTTTAAAAGGCTTTGCAAGACCATCCCAAATGTTATTTTTCTTAGAAGCTCTCCAATGTCCCTGGAAGTTGTACAAAAACAGAGTACATAAAAAATAACTCAATGTTGCCATTGCTGCCAGCAAATCAAAGCTTCGGTAGTTCTGCGTATAAATAGACAGCTTTTCCTCGAATTCCTTTGTAAATCAGTAATCGAAGTATGTACATTAAGGTTATGATTTTTTTTTAGATTTAAATGCCTGTGGTGGCAAACGATGAACTTTTGTATAAATTTCCCAAAAATAACAACAATTTTGATAAATTATAAAAAAAAACTCCCGCGCATAACGGAATTTATTATCAGTTTCTAAGTGGAGAAAATTAATATTCAAACATGTTTTTCTTCTCAAATGTTTTATGGTTTTATTAAAGTAAAATAGATTCGTGGATTTTTATTGCTGATACACATCGTTTTTAAACCAAAACTTGGTAGGCAAAAAGGAATTTCGGTCGAATTTTTATACTAGGTATGGGGCTTTGCCATGCAACAGCCTTGTAAATGAAATGATAGTGTGCGCGGGAGGTATTTTCACGAACCAAAAAAGATATCGCCAAAAAAGTAATATATGGACAAAAGTTCATTAAATGCACGCACAGGCAAATCAAAATTTAAAAAAGTGTAAAAAAATCATAACCCTAATGTACATATATGAGTATTATCTGAAAAACGCTTTTAAAGGAGGATTTCTGGTAATTTTTTACCATGATCCATTACCTCAAGTATTTTTTTTTTAAGTTGACGACGATTAAAAAGTATTGAAAATTGTATGTATATTCCACATTTTAATCAAACGATGACAAATGGGCACACAAAGGTGGCGATTCAAGGCCAGAAATGCTTCACAATCGGTGTCAAAACCGAAAGTAGTACGCTGGGCCAACCTTTGATTCAACTCCCTACTGTCAAAGATTAATTCGGTAAACAGGCAAGCCTCGATGCTAAAAAAAAAGGTCAGAACGACTATACAAATATATAAATAGAGGCCAGACAAAAGAGCGAAAAACTCTGTTGGAAAGTTTTAATGTAATTTTAATGTGATTAGTACAAATTTGTTTTGGTTTCGGTAGAATCCTTTCAATGGTTGGTTGAAAATAGACTTGTAAAGATTATTCATTCCTTTTTAACGGATCTAAAAAAATGAGAACGTTATCAATTCGTCGTGAAAATTCCTGAAAATATAGCAAAAATTTAAAATTTACGCAGAATCTTCAAGAATATTCACAAATATCCAAAAAAATCCTGGCAAAACCTGTTTCCTTTTGTTTTTTCTTTTTTTTTTTGTCGGAACCAGGCAAAAAACAACGCGTGCTGAAAACAAAGTGCTTAGGAAATCTTTAAAAGCTGCGAAAAATTAAGAAATTTTTCAAAGCAAAGTACCGCAAAAACTAGAAATCGCGAAAAAAGTGTTTAGAAAATTTTGAGAAGAATATCATTAAACCAGCGAATTGCCTAAATGTCTTGACTATAAATGCAAAGTCACGTAAAGTCCCGAAAAGCCCCAAAAGATGCCGAGAATGCTGAAAAGTATTCCAAAAATTAATTAAGAAAATTTTTTCAAAGTCGCATAAAAATTTACAAATGTATTGGATGTCACGAGGAATCCCGAAAATTCCCATCAGATCCGGATACAATCACGTGCATGTTTAAAAAATATTTAAAAATCCCGAACTACTTCGAGAATAATCCAAAAAAAAACCACTTAAAGTTTTGTGAAACATAGGGAAAAACGTTCGAAAATCCCAACGAAATTTTCGAAAAAAATTTTTAGGAGATTTCAAAAAGTCCAAAAAAACTGAAACAGTAAGGCTATCGTTAATTAGTAAAAAAATATCCAAGATTTCATTGTAAATTAATTAAAAACCACAAAAAGCATCGAATTGTCTCGAAGAAATACTGAAAAAAGACGAAAATTCCCAAATTTTTTTGGGATTTCGAAAAGTATATATGTGTGCATATCATTAAACAAAGTCTAGAAAAAATCAAAAAAAAATCTGAATATACAGAAAATGTATCAAACCTTTTTAAATCTTAATAATTTGTCTACGAATATTTAAAAAATACAAAAAAAAAACCCTTAAAGTCGTATAGTCTTAGATCCGAAGATCTTCTGTTTAATGGATTAAATTCAATTTTGTGTGAAATTTAACGTGTTATTAGGCGGTATGATCATTTTTCTGTTTCGAAATCGAACATTATCGAATAATAATTGCAGTTTTGCAGATGTGAACGAATATACTTTGAAAGTTATTTCAAAAACTCCCCATCCCAATTTACAATTACAAAACTTTAACAACTAAAATGAATCTACTCCTGTGCAAAAAAAAAATCCACACTGACCATTTACCAGCATAACCAAATTGTGTATCGGTGACGCTAATCTAAAAGAACAAACATTCGAACTAATCGAATACGATGACAAAGCAAAATGCATTGTCCATTGCACAAAATCGTCCTCCAGCTGCTTGGGAATATCAGCAACCAATAAATACATATTTACGTATGAATATGCTGCTTCGCCTCTGAGCTGCCAAATGCAAATAATGACAAGCGAGTGGTTAGAAAATTGAAATCCCTTCGAAAGTGAAATGCAACAAAACTGATGGAGTGCAATGAAATAGCAAGAAGAAAAAAGCGAGAAATTTTAGTGAACATTGTTGTCTGCTGGTCGCCGACAACCCAACAACACAGGATGACTGCAAAAAACACTCGAGTAGCCAGCCAGCCAGCTGCCGAAGTATATTTGCACATCTGCTTGTAAGCAAGTATGTATTGACTGTACCTTATTGGCTTGGCTTGGCAGCGTTGGCTAGCGATTGGTGATTTCTTATGATGTTCATAGTCTTCATTGCTTTGTGTTGTTCGTCGGGTATTGATTGGTCTTTGAATAAATTGAATTTTTAACATCCGCGCGCTGTGCCTGGCAAGTAAAATGCTAAATATGCTAACTTGCGAGTAGAATGTTTAGTAGAGTGCAATGCAGCGCATTCAAATGGAATGGAATGTAGCTGCTACAATAGACATAAATACCTATCAAACGATACATACAAATTCTATAATATTGACTAATTTAGCGTAAATGGAAATTAAGTTACCGAGTGGAAATTTAATGAAATCCCAAGAAGGTATAGCAATGAAAAATTGTTTGTGAAGCAAATGAGTCAAGTAAAAAACCAAATTCGCTTAAGAAGCTTCGATTGCATAGCAGGGATTATGAAGTTGGTTTGCATAAAAAAAAGCGAAGGGCTCGGAAATTGCTTTTTTTGAAGAAGGGAATTCAGCGCTATTCAATAAGAATCATTTGAACAATCGAATATTGCCCCAAAATAAGTA